CTAAACGCTTTTTTTTTTCTGTCTTTTAAACACAAAAATTCAAGTTGGAAATAGAAAGAATTCTTATTATTATTTTTTTCACGAAAGATATAACAAAGAAACAAAAAAGAAAATTACATGTATAACTCTCTTTTTTTTTTTTTGTTTCAAAACTTGTTATTTATAAAACAGCACATATAGTTATATATTTGCCACAACACTTAAGCCGATACCAACACCCAATCAGTCAGTTTAGAAAGAAAGGAAAAAACAACAGTGAAGAAAAATTAGCATTTTTTTTAACTCAAAATTTATTTTAAAATTTTAAAAGATGGTAAAAACTGAAAAAAAAAAAAAGTCTTCTAATATAATGACTGCAAAATGACCGTAAATTGCACTAAGTTCTCCTATAAAAAAATGAAGAAAAACTAAGAAATGTATGAGAAAAAACAAAACTTACGTTAACTGGTCGAGGTTTTGGTACTGCTTCAATCCGTCGAATAGCCAAAGCACCGACCATAACGTATGCAGCTACCGAAACAACCATTGCCAGATGAAGCACATACGGTGCTAGCTAAAAAATAGTACTTGATTTATTTCTTTAATAATTTTGTAAAAAAAAATAGAAAAGGTCAAACTTAAACAGTTGTCACTGAACAAAAAAATGGTCAGTGTCATTAAAAGAAAAGAAAAAAAAAGATTTAAAAAAAATTGATAGTACAAAAATTGTTGAAAAAACTTTGTTGGCGTCAACTTGAAGAGTATATTCGGCTACAGTATACTACATGAAAATTTGATTTCTGAAGATGGAAGGGTATAAAAAGAAGTTACTGGTAAATCCTCCATATTTTTCAGCAGTTCCGATACCACCGGTTATTGACAGTTTGTAGCAGAAACAGAAGCAAGTAGAAAAAAAAACTAAGAAAACAAGAACAAAAAAAAAAAAAAAAAACGCTTTAGCATCTTTTAAAAAGCCATATAAACTTTTTATAGTCAATTATATTGTCTATTTGACTTTTTGCTTAAACAGTAATGTTTTTTCTTTTTTTGCTGACAACAAAGTACCTAAAAAGTTGCAGTAAAAATATGCTAACTTTTTAAGCAGCAAAAAAAAACTGCTTTGAAACAGCAAAGTAACTATTTGATAGGCTTTACTTGAAAATCCATCTATATCGATACCGATGAGTACCATAAAGATAATGAAAAAAAAAAGAGAAGAAAAACCAGAACAAAGAAGGAAAGAAAGGAAGGAAAGAAGAAAGGAAAGAAAGAAGTAGCTTAAAAAAAAGAATGGATATTCTTGAAACATTGTCAGAAGAATGTCTTCAAAAATAGTCTTTTACAGCTATGAACATTGTTCAGTTGTTTGTTGATATATTTATTTATCTATTTGTTTTGTTCATTGATACCCCCCGTTACTGTTACCCCGTTGGGCATTACTGCTTTAGCTTTTTTTTTTTGCTCTATTCAACTTTTACAGTTTTGTTTTTCTTTCATTTTTTTTTTCTTCTAACATTAAAAAGACAAAAAAAAGAAATAGAAGGATAAGAAAAAAAATGAAATAAATAAATAAACTTACTTTTTCCTGTAAATAATGCTTGAAAACAGTTCGCAGCTTTTGTCTGTTAACAAAATTACATTTGTTTTGAACAACAACTTTCATGGTTGGCCAGAAATGCTTTTGTCATTGTCTGCCGTATCAAATATACCACCACCACCACCAAATTGGTGAAGAGAAAAGAGGAGAAGAAGAAAAAAAAAAGTGTAGTTTTCTATTTTTTTTTCAACAAAAAAAAAAAAAAAAATCTGTTCAATTGGTCTGGGAAACTGCTGTCGTTAAACATTATTTTTTGTTTTTTTGTTTAGTGTGTATTCGTATAGAGTAAAAAGCAAAGCAAAACAAAAAAATAATTTTTTTTTTTGAGAA